CAGAGCTGGTGCTTTTGACCAATTGAAGCAGAATGCCACTAAAGCTAAAATTCCTTTCTATGGGAGGTATGTTTTTCTTGTTTACTCTTGGATTAGTGTCCACCTGGTTCATTGAATGTTAGAATTTGCATTATTTTGCTGCTTACAAACTTGTGGGAACGGATGCTACTGTGAACTATCTGTTGTTGCAGATTTATATCTTGATAAAAATGTCACTTAGTTGGAGATTAAGTGGGTGATGGTGTGGAATGCTTTTGGGAAGGGTGAACAAAGTTGAGAGAATGCTGTTTATTCTATTAACCTCTGATGTGCAACGTGGTAGTCTGCATCTGTTGAGAACAAAACTAATTCCTACACTTTATATTTGTCTTTGTCTCTAGTCTCTACAGTTACGCTAGCGAGTTTGTCAACTGATTAACGATCACAATGACTTTAGACAACTAATTTTATGATGATTGGATACGGCGGCATTCAAAAAGTTCCAATAATTTTCTGAATTTTATTTGGTTTAGGTGCATTATCTTAATGTCAGAGGATTATATGCAGAAGTGCTGTACAGTAATTTCATCAGCTGTCAATATCAGTTGTTGTGAGAACCTAGATTATACACCTCATAAACATTTACTAATAGATACATCAAAATATGATTGATACCTGAAGACCATGTGGCTTTGCTATAAGCATAAGCAGACCGCTCGTACTTCATACAGACCCTTTCCTATTTGTATTTAGTATTTTTTCTATCTGAATGTTGCTATCGTGAGCCATTCTTATTGCGTGTGTTAGAATCTCCTATGTGCAGTTATCTTATGTGGGTAATTATTGTCATGTCTGTAACAGCTACACGGAGTCTGATCCTGTGAGAATTGCAGTTGAAGGTGTTGAGAGGTTTAAGAAGGAAAATTGTGATCTTATAATTGTTGATACCAGCGGACGTCACAAGCAGGAAGCATCCCTTTTTGAAGAAATGCGTCAGGTGTCTGAAGCAACGGTATGTAATTTATAAGCCTTCTTTTCTTGGCTCTTTGTTTATAATTTTTACTTCATAATGCTTGAGTGATCTTTTGAATTTTCCAGAAACCAGACCTTGTAATATTTGCCATGGACAGCAGTATTGGTCAAGCTGCCTTTGACCAAGCTCAAGCTTTCAAGCAAAGTGTTGCTGTTGGAGCTGTGATCATCACCAAGATGGATGGACATGCTAAGGGAGGTGGTGCGCTTAGTGCGTAAGTTTTAGTAGTAAACCATATTGAATTCTGTATGTTTAATGGCAGTTTATAGAAATTACAATTTACAATAAAAAAATGATTTCAGCATCATCTGTTGATATCCTTGTACTGTAGTATCTTTCTTCGAAGAAGTAGAGAAGCTCACTGGGTATTAGGCCTTGTGGTCCCATGTATATTTGGTTAATACATGGTGTAGGAGGGTTGAAATATCCAACCATTTGCTTAATGGGGATGATCAATTTTTTTTTTTTTTTTTTTT